TAATTGTTTTCACTATTCATACGAATAGAGAACTTTTTGCTATTATTATGAATATAACTATTGATCTGAATTTGCACTAACGGTTAACTAGCGGTATATAATTGTTATAAAAATACAATTAATATTATAATTATGTGAATTACTTACACGTTGTATAGTATAAAACCGAATACAAAAATACATTATAATAGTGGGTTGTTATCAAATATTAATAAATGTTGTTTTGTTAAACATTTGATTAGATAAGACACACACATTGGATGATAACCCGACAACTTTGTGGGGATCTTCAGATGTTTTTCGCGGTAATATAACAGATACTAAATATTTTAGTCACAATTTATGTTGCATTTATTGTAGTCATTGAGTTAATATGAACATATACTGAATTATATTTTAATAAATTGCAAGAATATTGCTTAGACAAATTGTTTATTCATTATTCAGATAATGATACTATTTACCAAAACACATTTTAATCTTTTAAAATTAAATTTATCATTTATTTTATATGAAATCCCTATTTGCAATCATTTTATAGAAATATTCTTATCATTTGAAAAATATATAAACTTAATTATAATCACAAAGTTTACAACAATTGTCTATATATTTACTAAACATCCCTTTAATAGACTCGTAGTTTTGAGTAACTAATAAGTAATATAAAATTTCAAAAATAAATTATTACACATATTACATGTTTTACAAAATATTTCACTTATATTTCATTGTAATTTCAGTGAATTGAAACAATCTATACACTGTTTTCAAACAAATTCATGAAATAATATGACAGTCTATATAAAATATGCATTTCCACGACAACAAACACCGGTATACCGTATATACCATATATACCGCATAAATATAATGTTTTTTGTATTATATTTCTAGCACTCAATAAGTATTTGTAGTGTTTTTTCTCTACTGATAAAAATACCACATACACTGTATATACTGTATATAATACACATAATACAGTAAATATACAATATATTAGAAAATAAAAATTCATAAAATGTTTTTATCGTTATTATTATGATTGCGTCCATTTCTATGGGAACAGTCATTGCTAAGAACTTACTACCGGTACTTATATTACCTGGCTATTAAGGGAAAGTATGTATTCAAGTAATGAGCACAGGGTGGTATTGTATAAAACCAAAGCAAACACTAATTTAACATAAGTGTTGTATGTTTGGGACCCATAATTGAATCATAAATAAGTTTTCATACAGAATTGTGTGCCTAATGTTTTGAAAATATAGTTATTATTATTACAGTATTATTATTATTGTTAAATGATATTTTCCTAGAATTCTTACTTCAATTAATTTTATTTTTAGGATTATTGTAGGAATACCCGTGTATTATGTATGATTACACAATTCTGTGTAATATCTGATTCTGTTATTTATTTGTAATTTATAAATAGTGTGTGTTTATGTTTTGCGAAAATAGTATAAATACTTGTGGCAAATTAAATTGAATGCAATAGAAATAAAACATAATTGTGTGGCAATAATTTGAGTAGTTATCAAAATTATTGATTTTCTGAAATAAAATTTTTTGTTTTACATTTAGTGCAAACTATTAAAATATATGTATATTCAGGTATATTCTTATAATTATTAAAATTTTAATAAATAACGATGTCGCACTGGGAATTAGGTCTGAGTTTTGCATACATAATCATAAATACAATACATGTACAGTAGATACCACTCACTCTACATTTTATGTGATAATAATATATTTACGGACAAAGCCTGTCTATTTTTAATCAATTCATATTACTGTACACTAAACTACATTTACTACTGTAATAAAAACAATATTATGAATTCAAAATTATGAGTATACTGTACTTTTTAATCGATAAATGTTTTTGCGTGTATTAGCATTAATGGACACATATTTAGTAGGATTTTTATATTTTCATGAATATAATATAATGAGACACTTGAATGTAATATACGGTCTGATAGTTGGCAATATAAATGGGAGGTTATGTCTATATAAATGATTATAAAATTCAGTACAGAATATATAATATTGAGGGTAAAGTAAATACTCATTTTAATAGATAATTAATTTGCAGTGATTCTCCAATTTAATTATATTAATTGAGAGGGCAATTAAATCAAATGTTTGTATTGTGGACGGCATTTAAATTTAGTGTATGATATAGTACCTGTCTAGTATATTCATGCATAATAAATTTAAAGAATTTTGTAATAGTTACTAAAAATTTTATAGAATTTCAAAAACACTTCAACATTTTTTAGCAATGACAAAATTCATAAGTCAAACTCTCATAATGGGTTTTATATAATGACTTAATGATTCAATATAAATGCGTTAATAGTGTTATATTATTTTGTCTGGTTTTGCATATCATATGATATGTCAATCGGAATGCAATTCAATGCAATACTGAATTCGTAAATGTTTTGTATTTATGGAAACCTCACACACATAGCAAACACACAATCAGATATTTACACTCAAATCAATGCTACTTTACTTTTTATGACTATTTGTACTAAATTCAGAATATTTGCAATATACTAATGAACTGTTTGTTTGTGTATCCCTCACAGGAATGGCATTCAAAATATATTAGCATTTAAAGTAATTTACCAGTAAATTGTATCACAGTATTAGTCATGGAATTATAAATAGCTAGATGTGTATTGAATATAGTGTAGTCAATGATGTGTACAGTATATAAAAATGATAGTACAGTATCTTTTTTCATTGGAAAGGTATGTATTCTGGTGATGACTTTGACTTTTTTGTGAAGCACTCCTAATAAATATTTAAGACTAAAATCATTTTCAGGTTTACTTTCATACAGACGTTTTGTTTTTCAGTTTCAAAATCACAAAACACTTTCGGAATAATAGGACACAAAATATCATTTCATTTCCATTAACGTGACAAACAAATAGCACTTATTAAATGAGATTTTAATATTAAATATCATTCAATCGATATTTATTTTTGACATCATTTTTACTTTTATTTATAAATGCGTATAAATTATGCTGAATATTAGATTTTATTAATTATAACAAATTAATAGCTCTTTTTATAAGTAGAAATTTTTGCTAAAACTTGTACAAAATTTAAAACTACAAATATAATATAAGTAGATTATTTTATATACGGTAATATTAATTATACATACTTTTCATAATAATGGGCGTAAAATCCGTTTACCACATTTTGCATTAATATAACAATAATTCAATTGTGAGTGAAATTCATGAAAATTCTTACGAATAATAAACACAAAACTTTTATTTTAAAACTTTCAAAATTCTGGTGTGAAGTCTGAATATCATATAATAACCAGAGATCTGATCAGATATTTTGATAACAAAGTTCTTGAGTGTGTGTATACTTTGTGGGAAATGGTTTATATATAGGGTATTGAGTGATAAAAATCAAAAGTGCACATATTATAATAAGACAATTATTTATTTTTTGAACCAAAAACTTTGTGTGTCTAAATATATATGCTTTGCATACGATATATGAGTGGCACTGGTATTCAATAATGAGGAACGAAAATAGGATGAATATAATGAACACAAAAAATATACGAAAACTCACAGCAAAAATTGATATAACAGTCTCACAGACTATACATGTAATCACTGACTATTAATACAACATTGAATATAAAGCAAAATATAAAATTCTGGCAGTAATTCCGTTTGATGTATTATATTACAGTGAATTCACAAAACATATCTAAAAATCATTATTAATACTTTTTTCGGTAGAAATATTTTAGTAAACTGATTTTAGTTTTTAATGCTCATTAGTTATTTATTATATTTAATATGATATCTGAAAGTATGGGAAATAGTATACAGTATTATAATCTAATACGGTATATTAACATAATACTTATAAATTTAGTTTTATATTTATAATAATATAATGGGGAGTTTATGGTTATATTAAAATAATGCTTATTAATGGCATATAAAATATTTGTCAAACATATCCGATAGGAAATTCAATGAACACAGCCAGTTCCCCCGCATAACCGTCCCATTTGTTTCTCATTCACTCACACATTGTTTTCTTTAATAAATGAAAAATGTATATAATTTTTCTGTACATATAATCTGTTGACATCACATCATTTGTATCCCATTCCCCTAATTATTCTGTACTTTGTTTGTGGTGAATATGTTTTATATCACAAAATCACACAAAACTCCTGTTCCCACCACAGGATGTGCCACTGAATGGCAAACCCCAAACACTATATACAATATTTTATTCACAATATATGGTAAGCTATTATTTATAATTTCATTGTTATTAGTGAAAAATTTGTTGTATTAATATATTGTAATTTGTTATTCACTGATCCATTACTTTATTTATAACTATTATGTAACTTTTTATGACATTTAATCTCAGATATTATCACAAATTCAAGTGAATTGCGACACTAGAGGACATATTTATAGCATTCATTTGATGTTTGATAAACATGGTATAATAACTTTTATAACAAATAAATTTATTAAAAAAAACTATTTTTCAATCAATTTATGTTTGGCATTTCAAAATTAGTTTCGAAATATTTTTTTGTTAATACTTTGTTTGAATACCTGAATAAATATATTATATTTGATTTCTATTGACAGTATATTTCTATTGAAACCATAATGAAACTGCTATTTATTTTGTTACATATACACTATCACCTTGATAATAAACACTGATGCGCTTATAATACTAAATAAATTGCTTTTGACAATTAAAAAATAATAAAAACTAAACCTTAAGCCAAAATGATACAAAACAAAAAAATTAAAACCTAATTAAAAATAGCAAAAATACACATAAAAATATCAAACTACTACAATATACTTTGTAAAAACATTTTAAACAAAAACAATACAATAAACTCTGATATAAACTATTGTGCGATATATAAAAACCCAAAGAATTGGCCATAAAATCAATCAGACATTGCGAGAGACCCTACGGGCCAGCTGTAGATCCCGGGGCATAATAGTCACACGATTGGCGTGAATGGCACAGAGGTTCGCGTCCTCGAAGAGTGTCACCAAACAGGTCTCAGCCGCCTCTTGGAGGGCACTGATGGCCAACCCCTGCCACCGGAGATCGGTGTCGACCAATATGTCGGCGCACACCTCGCGCACCAGCCGTTGGAACGGTAGCCGAGGTATGAGACAGTCGACGGACGTCTGGTAGCGCCGGATCTCTTTCATCCAATTTGAATTGCGAGGGAAATGCACTTTTTTGGACGACTTTATGGCAGATTTAGGCGACGCCGCGATGTTTGGCTTATGGGTCGGTCCTAATGGTGGGCGCATTGTCTCAGGAAATAGTCAACGATTTGATTGCAATTATATATTGAAAAGTGATTTAAATTCACTTGTAATGAAAATACGTGTGAATACGCTGTCAGCACAGGGATGTGACTGAAAAGGAAAGTAGTCTTCCGTTTGTGACTATGAGTACTCATATGAATTGGTTAAAGAAATTGTAAATTAATTAAATGCTAACAATTTTTGTTTTAAACTGATTGTGACTTTACTTGTAAACTTTAAAATTATAATAAGTTTTTATTACCAATTAAATCTGTTTTATTATCAAAGTTTAGTAATTTTCTATAAATACTCATTACTAAGTTTATATCAGTTAAGTACAAAATATCTTGTTTTGGATTAAATTATGTTATAATTTTCTATACCTTATAATGACAATGAAATTATTAGTAGTTTGAAACTTATGTTTGATTATTAGTAATAATTTATTACAATAAAGTAATATAAAAATTCTATTAAAGTTATATTAAGCTATATGTAGTAATTAAATAATTTTCAAGCTTATTTTAAGAGATTATCCTTTATAATTTTTGGCGATTAATTTCAATGACAATTTTAATATTTTGTGTGTTTTATATTTTATAAATTATAATAAATTATGTAATACTATATTCAGTGATTAAAAGTGCGGTTAAATTAAACTAAATTCTAATAGCATGCTATAAAATACAACTATGGTAATAAAATAATAGTTGTAAATTATAATTGACAAAACAGTGGTAGAAATAAATGAGCTTATACAGTTTAAACAATAATTTTGCGACAAATAAAAAACTTTTAGAAATCTTTTGATAAGCAATAAAACTCAAATTAAATACAAAACACATAAGACTTAATACGAATAATAAGTTGCTAGATAAGACAAAAACAAACACTTAATATCTGGAAATCATATTCAATACAATTGACATGGGACATTATTTCACTGAAAAACATATATTATTCAAAATCAATATACGTATGAGACTTGTGTCAGAAATGATAGGCCTATCAAATATGGGGGCAAAATACCCCTCATTATCAGTTCATTATTACCTCTTATAATACCATTAATAGCCTATCAAATAGTGGAAACACTTGACTCTATGTACGTAAATAATACCATAATTCGCGTCAATAATAAAAATAAAACTCCAAACTATAGTCATATTTGTATCCAAACTATTAGTTTTATTGTAATGTCTGTCCCCTATCTGCTCCGAGATAACAGTCCCATTAGAAATGACACGTCGAATAAGGCACTGATTTGCGATCAAAAGTGAAAAATACAAATAAAATACTAAACTATATAAAGAGATTTTATTATAATAGAGATTCCTTACGACGAGTAGTAATTCATTTGACTTTTGTCTACTGAATAGTAAAGTAGTGTCTCATTGAAAAGTTTCTAAGACTAGTTAATTGACTTCACTTTTATATACAATTACTTTCTACGACGAGTAGATTTATATTTAATTATCAATTTTATTTTTGTCTGTGCCTTAAGTCCCATTAAAAGACAATGAAATTTATGGTATTATCACTGATTGTCGCCCTTTTGGTGGTCGACTCGTTTGCGGCTAAATCGGCGGTAAGTTTTCACTCATACATAGCATATGAATCGCATTTACAACTAAAACTCAACACATTTTGTGAAATAAATCTCTAAAAACATAACCAATTAATGTAAAAAAACTGTATTTTATAGGAAACCCGAAAACGCGGCCGAAAGTCAAGTCAGGAACCGGTGGTTCAGACGGAAGAGGTGGAGGCAGTGGTCGAGGAGAAGGTACGCATCAAACACAACGTCGAAATAGTAGACCCAGAAGTGGAGGAACTGGAGGCTGAGGTGGCCGTCGAGGAGGAGGAGGAGGCCGAGCCAGAGGTGGTTAAGGCAGAGCCAGAGGCGCCCAAACCCGCCAAAGCGGCCAAAAAGCCTAAGAAGTCATCGCCGAAGGGAAAGGCCGTAAAACAGGAGAAAGCAGTGGCGGAGCCGGCCGTTAAAGAGGTGGCAGAAGTGGCCGAACCCGAGGCGGTCGCCGAGGAAGAGGTGGTCGACGTAGTGGTGGCGCCCAAGAAGAAAAAGGGAGGAAAGGGTGAGAAGTCCTGCGGAGGCGTACAGAAGAAGGGCTCGTCGGAGGGAACGGCAGTGGAGGCCGAGGCCGAGGCGGAGGAGGAGACGGCCGCTGCCGGCGCTGAGGAGCAACAGTCGTGTCAGAAGAGCGAGAAGAAGGACGTGAAGAGCGGCTCCAAGACGTCGACGAAGAAGACTGAGAGCCAGAAGACTGAGGGAAACGAGAGTCCGAAGAACCAGAAGAATGGGAACCAAAAGAATAATCCGAAAAATAATAAGAAGAATGAGAGCCAAAAGAAACAGAAGCGAAGTGTCGACCAAAAGGGCGCTCAGAAACAGAAGGGAAAGGGAGGAAAGGGCGCAAAGGATGCCAAGTCTGGCGGCAAACAAAAGCAAAAACAACAGTCAAAAGGTAATGAGCGCCGGTAGACGTCCCGCACACTCCGTGCTTAAATTGTTTTGTCCATTAATTGTTACCTAAATTTAGATTTTATTTGTATTTTGTAATGAATTTCATGTTATTTATATAAATTTATATTTTTAGTCAATGAAAACATTTTATTTTATCTATTAACAAAAAACTGCCTCTCTCTTTTTAAATAAAACATTAATTTAATAAAATATTTATAAATTTTAAACGAGTGTTTATTTAATTATCAAACATTGTCTTAAAATAATGTAAAGGGTTATCAATTTAATACACTATTTCATATACTATTTAATCATTTATATTTTATTAATAATAAACTTAACACATTATTAACACATGTTTTAAATAGAAAAATTAATTTTTATTCATTTAACAAGTAAATCAGATTTAACACAACAAACATTGCAATGAAAATGAGACATTAATTCACTATAAATGTAAAGCACCGGTATATAATCAATGAGAATTGTACTGATGAGAGGGAAATGGTATGTACCGTATGATTATTCTTAACAGTGAGATTTCGCACCCAGCTTAAATCACCATATCAGTCCACGTTGTGGGCACACATGTATCACTGGTTTGCCACCACTGGCCAAGACTTTTATAGTATCTCTCACTTTTAGTGGTCGACGTAGTGGTGGCGCCCAAGAAGAAAAAGGGAGGAAAGGGTGAGAAGTCCTGCGGAGGCGTACAGAAGAAGGGTTCGTCGAAGGGAACGGCAGTGGAGGCCGAGGCCGAGGCGGAGGAGGAGACGGCCGCTGCCGGCGCTGAGGAGCAGGAGTCGTGTCAGAAGAGCGAGAAGAAGGACGTGAAGAGCGGCTCCAAGACGTCGACGAAGAAGACTGAGAGCCAGAAGACTGAGGGAAACGAGAGTCTGAAGAACCAGAAGAATGGGAACCAAAAGAATAGTCCGAAAAATAATAAGAAGAATGAGAGCCAAAAGAAACAGAAGCGAAGTGTCGACCAAAAGGGCGCTCAGAAACAGAAGGGAAAGGGAGGAAAGGGCGCAAAGGATGCCAAGTCTGGGGGCAAACAAAAGCAAAAACAACAGTCAAAGGGTAATGAGCGCCGGTAGACATCCCGCACACTCTGTGTCTAAATTGTTTTGTCCATTAATTGTTACCTAAATTTAGATTTTATTTGTATTTTGTAATGAATTTCATGTTATTTATATAAATTTGTATTTTTAGTCAATGAAAACATTTTATTTTATCTATTAACAAAAAACTGCCTCTCTTTTTAAATAAAACATTAATTTAATAAACTATTTATAAATTTTAAACGAGTGTTTATTTAATTATCAAACTTTGTCTTAAAATAATGTGCCCTTTTTCAGGTAAAGGGTTATCAATTTAATACACTATTTCATATACTGTTTAATCATTTATATTTTATTAATAGTAAACTTAACATATTATTAACACATGTTTTAATTAGAAAAATTAATTTTTATTAACATATTTAACATATTATTAACAAGTAAATAAGATTTAACACAACAAACATATTTTAAAAATGAGACATTAATTTACTATAAGTGTAAAGCACCGGTATATAATCAATGAGAATTATACTGATGAGAGGGAAATGGTATGTATGATTATTCTTAACAGTGAGATTTCGCACCCAGCTTAAATCACCATATCAGTCCACGTTGTGGGCACACATGTATCACTGGTTTGCCACCACTGGCCAAGACTTTTATAGTATCTCTCACTTTTAGGTGCATGCAAAAGGGCACACAAACGACACCACATGTATATCTCCCGCAAATCGCCCGTTCCCTTCCAGGCAAAGTACTCGTTATACAACTGGTCATTACTGTCCAATTTGTGCAAATAACTGGCCAAATGTTTGGGCGATTTATAGTCGTCGACGTGTATATAGGAGTGCGGGGGCGCTAGCCGTTTGTAGGTCAAGGGGTGGGCGCCCATTACTATTGGTATTACGCTATGCCTGTTATTAATGGGTTAGAAATTTGTTGATTAGTTATTGAGTATGAGATAAAGATTTTATGACTTGTATCGCAAGTGTATTAATTAAGTTTAAAAAAATTAAACTAATGTCTAAAATGCAAACAAAAGTACTATACATGAGTCCATTAAACCAAAACTTTTCCGTAATATAGTCCAAACAGTTTGAGTTCTCAAACGATAAATAAAACTTATAGTCTTTGTCTACCATTTGCTGACATAAATCATTATCAGACTTCGAGCAGTCCATTGAACCGCAGCTGTATGTCCATTGGGTTTACCATCAAAAAACCCCCAAAAACCAAATCCCAAAACACCAAGCAAAATAAAAACACACAAAAAATTATTGAATAGCTTTTGAAACAAATAGTCTAGACTAGAATACATAACCAAGTAAATTATAATAAAATTAAAAGCTAAATAATAAGACATAGGCATAAAATAAAAATCTATTGAGTAATCAATACATTGAATGCCATACCGGCCATAGATGTCGACCTGGATATGTTTGGCCAACTCTTTGGCGTACTCCAGGCGCTTGTTATTAGCGAAACAGTTGGACACGAACCAGGCCACTTTCTTAGTCTTATTGAATGCATAGTTAACGGGGGGAATAATAGACTTTGTGGCAGACCTCTCATACTCGTAAAACTTGTAATAAGGCGTCGGTATCTCCGAGTCGTGTCGGTAGGTGACCGTCCAATTGATTTGGTTGTCCGGTCCTATGAGCTGTATGTTCGCTGGACTCTCGATCTCGAATTTGGCCCAAATCTGGTCCGGATTACGGTTTACCTCAAACTCCCGAAAGCCGTACCGATTCTATTGATTTGTGAATGCAATAAAAAGCATTATTTATAAATACTACCGGTGCCCTAGTTTTAGAAATAATCTATATTGTAAATATTTTGTAACATTTATGTAACATTTAATAAAATGCTATTTTTCTATCTAATTATTCAGAATATTCTGTAATTCTTGTATACTGTAGACTATTTAAGTTATAATGAACACTTGTGTATTACAAAATTATATTAATTGTAGTATTTATACAAAATTTTGTAAGAATACAACTTTGAATTACATGTAATGTATTGTATGTTTTGCAGTCAAAGAATATTCTTAATGAGATTCTTAATGATATATTTGTCGTTAGAGTTTATGAAATGCTTGAATTAACATTTAAAGTCACAATACAGTTACAGTAATAATTTTATAATCATATTTAGGTTACGTAGTATTTCACTATTATTGACAATGATTATGTCACTTTTTATGACTATATAGCTAAACATATTTTACAATGCAATTAATTTTTCTAATAAATGCATTTTGTTTGGCAAAAAAGTCAATTTATAATCTATATTTGTCTACTTTTCAAGCTATATAATGTTATGAATCATGAAACTATCATAAATTATAAGTTTTTCAATTGAATTTTGTAATTGTTATACGGAAACAACTTTATAATTAATTTATTTTCATTAGAATTAATAATATATATAAACAAAAAATAACACTTAATGTAAAACATATTTAATAAATATTGGTAATAAAAAACATGTCAAACAAAATACCTTAAAAAATATGAGATCAGCCTTTTGTGCGTGACTTCTGGGCACTAACTGACAGGTACTGACCGGACACCTGAGGAACTCCTTCCGACCCAACGATAGCCGCCAATCGTTATCACTTGCGCTCAAATAAATAGTCTTATGTTTGTCCGCAGTTTTCTCGTAATCTAACGGCACGTACAGCAACTGATTCACAACCCTATCATCGCTGGGAGTGGACTCCTCGGGCCACAGGGCTAACTGCGCCGCCTCTACCGGCCCTAACCTCCCGGTGCCGTTCGTCAGAAACCATAGCCTTTGGTGCACTTTCGGTGACAACTTAGGGACCAGTGGTTTGTATACGACTTTCGCGGCATTTGTCTCACTATTATGTCGGATGACAAACGTCTCATCGCTTGTGGTCTCGTGTATAACATTTGTCTCGAAAACAATACTACCATTGAAACCATGCTTTGAATAGTATTTTCTAATTGTGTTTAAATTGATGTCAAAATTATTGAGCGTTAATACGGACAATACGATTACGATGAATGTGATGCCAGTGATGTATAGTAGGATTGAATACGTGGATGAGTTGCGGAAAGTTATGTATAAAAGCAATCTCTTCATTGAAAACATATCACATAAATGAGACACAGGTTTCGGGGCAATGAAAACACACAAACTTTTTCGCTTTCACTAGAAATCTATTGCTTTTTTGTGCAGAAGTGATGAAAAACAAAACTAGCGATAAAAAGTGATCGGAAAGTATAGTTTTTTGTTTCCTATTTTACAGTCTCGCTATTATCTCATGTGTATTGTGTGCTAAACTGCTAATACAGTACACATGAGAAACATATTTAAAAATCAATACCGCAAGACGTGTAATGAAAACTACACGTCAACTCTAATAACATATTTATTTGCAGTTTTTTATTGCTATTACTAGTAAATAATATACAGTAAATATTCTGTGCGGCAAAAAAGGTTTGCATAGAATTCAAAGCATTTATATTCCTATTATAGTAGTATGTATTTAGTTAGAAAATAATGTATTAGTCTAGTTATTATGAAATGTAAGCCAATTTTTTTATAACACATTTATTCACTACTGTTTTCTATGGACTCAATATATAATTGATAGAAATATCGCCACCAATTGTGATCAACAGCTGAACCAATCATTTAATATTATATTATAATATGAATGCCAATTTCCATTAATTTTGTTTGCTTGATACAATTGTAGTCTAACAGCAATCTGTTACCACCAGGGACGAGTACTACTAATATACAAACACTTAGATTTTTAATAATAACAAATATAATAGCATAATTTATTTATGACTTGCTAATGTATTATACTTAATTAATATTGATCAATTTGTAAATTGAGATTCTTGAGATCGCATATTCTGACAATTGTAATGGCATCATGGTAACCCTATCCATACGACAATTGTTATGCATTTTTCACAATACAATTGTGTTAAATAATAAAAAATGTTTTTCAATCAATTTGTGTAGAAATAAATGGATGTATTAAAAATAACTAGCATTTATTGATTATTAAATTGTTATGTCATTTGCTATAAAATATAACTTATAATCAATATTAAATGACAATTACATAACTTTTGTCTTAATAATTGCTGTAAAAGTGTATTAAATAGTTTGTCTATCAAATACTTAATAACAAAGTATTTAACTTTAAAATAGTTACATTGTTTTAAATATTATAAAAGATATTTACAAATATGTTTAATTTGTCTTTCACATATGTTGACAATTGAAAATTATGGTATAATTTATAGCATAATAAAAAATTGTAATAATAGAGAATCATAATACAGCACTACTGTATTTACAAATTATAATAATATTATAAATAAAAGTAAATAAGTTACTGTACTACTCCTATTATTTTGTAAACACAAAATTAAAGGGAAATTATAATCTGTAAACAGTTATTGTTTAACACAGTAATTACATTATAATATCTCACATTTCATTAGTCTATGCCATAAACAGCAATCTCATATTTTGCCTTATTTAGCAGAAAAGTATCATAAAATTTCTAACTTATTTAAATACATTGATGACAATATTTTTCACACAAGGAATGAAATAAAATGTTTTAAATGAACATGATTTTAACCAAACAAAACACTACATTATTATTTTATTGTCACGAAAAATAATTTTAAAATACAGGCGTAAAATTACATAAAGTTATCGGATTATACCGAGACCATATTCAAGGATAAAGGTGTTAATGAGATAAGTAAAAATAATTTACACTAAATTTTAATGTCTAAAATGAAATCTAAATTATGAATTTAATGAAAATGTAAAATTATCAATAACAAGTAATTATCAATTATTTGCTCAAAAATTAACACTATTAAATAATTTTGTTACAAATGAATACAATAATAATTTTTAATTAATAAATTTTATGCAAACTACAAGTTATTAATTAAATAATTTTAATTATTAGCAAAAAAATATGAAGGTTTATATTACACTTACATTGAAGTTAGTAGACTATTAATTAATATTAGCCTATTGTTACTTATCATTCAAATAAGTAATATAAATTTGATAAGTCATGGAAAAGTTATTATTTATTATTAACTCGATGAATGTTTATTTAACAATGCGTTAACGGGAAGTGATATTACATAATGCGGTTAAAACAGCTTGATTTATAAACATTTAGCATGGTATAATAATAATATCTAGGTCTTGTAATCTAGCGGAATGTCTTAAGTGACCAAATCGGTGGTGACTTTTCCGACATCCAAATCAAGCGCTTAA